AGAGCGGCTTCGGAATGTTCAGGGACAATGGTCTGAACCGAGTTCCTGTGGATCATTCAACAAGAATCACGATAGAATCTGAAACACGGTCCTCAAGAAACCATTCCAACTTGAAACCATATATGATTCGAACCAAACATTATCAGGGACATTGATTCAGAAAGATTCACGAAACTGAGGATGCTAAATCAGAGCGAACATGGGATGTGTTCATACAGGAAGAGTATAAAACCAGACCAATCGCATTCCATTACAGATCAAACGAGTTGTCCGGCTAATCTACGCTACATCGAAGCGAAATTAAGGCGCTTACCTTTGGTTGGACCACCCACCATGATCACAGCCACAACATTCTCCCCCAAAGAGCTCCCCATTTCCCCAATTCAAAAATAAATTTTAAAAAATAGACGGAAAGAAACGCAGATCTCCGAACAAACTCGGGAACGTCAGATTCGTAAACCCAGATCCCTGATTTCACAGCCCTCAATCGAATCGGGAGCCCCTGTTCTTCACGTGAAATGAGCTCGCAGTGTCGGCAATGGAATGTGAGAGAAACAGGGAAGATCCCAATTGCAAAGTTTAGGGTTTGGGAATGATCTAATCAAGGAACAAAGAAGAGGAGAAACGTGAAAGATCAAATGGAAATGATTGAGATCGAAAGTTGAGCTCTTGGAATGACTCTGAAACTGCGATTGCTCACCTCTGTTTTTTTTTTCTTTTTTTTTCCCGTTCGCTTCTTATCTTCAATCACTAATTTTCTCAAAAAATCTTATTCGACTTATCAGGGAACGTGATGGAGTCAGATTTGGTCCCCCATTCTTTGCGAACAATTTACGAAATCACTTTTAGCAGAATTATAAATGCGATATGCTATTTCCCAAAATAAAATTTATAATAAAAAAAACATTTAGATATGGTTGTATCGATGATCAAGAGATACGGTATTGTACATCTCAATATAAAAAGAAAACCGATATACTATTGCAAGCCAAGCTAATTGAATTCGAAGCTATCTGAAAACAATCTTATGGTAATGAAAACATTTCTAGAAAATAAACATCTTTCTTAAATCTGCTGTAAATCCAAATGGATATAATGAAAACATTTCTATCACATGTAATATATATATATATATATATATATATATATCAGACTCCATAAGGTTTAAGGTAAAGTTGTAAAGAACAAAATCAGCCAATTTGATTGTATTGTACGTTTAAAAAAAACAATAGAAGAAAAAACATTAAAAGGGCTCAAAGATTTAAATTTAAATATAAAAAAAAGGACAGATGAACAAAGCACAAAGAACAAATAATCTCACTTGACCTTCGCATGTTGTTGTCTGTCCAAAGCAACCGCCCCTTCTCTTATGATTTTACCGAACCTAATACGAGAATTTCTTGTACACTCAAAGATTTTTGGTAGGAAAATAATTATAACATTTAATTTCGCAGGTCGGTGACATATTCTTATCTATTGGGCCATTCAACTTTCCTCAAACGTCATATTCTTCAAACAGCCAAATGGACTTAGAGGGGATTGCGCGTACCTTAAAGCTGAGTTATATAGCAAGGCGAGTCAGCGGCATTTCCAACTTCAGCTGTATGGTGCAAAAATGATGGATGAGTTGTGGCCACCAAACCCGAATGAGTTCGACAAGGCCGCCTTAATGTTCAGCCTCTCCTTCTTCGGACCCACCAGAAGTTCCGTATCCTGTTATTCAACCCCTATAAATTCGTCTGCACCCGCAAAAAATACAATCTTTGTATCGTACGCGCCACGTTTACTTACCACTCCTTCGTCTGGATTCTCAAGATTGATATTTGGATGAACCCATCCAGTCCGTATCGCCTGTGGAGAACAACATCGATAAGGATGATCGTCGAGCGGAATGAGGAAGAAAAACACGACGTTGTGATAAGAGTGGGGGGAGTGGGGGACATAATAATCAAATTTGCCAAGAAAATGAAGTTAGTATACAGCACCTTCCAGTCTTCTATAGATAAGGTGATGTCGGTGCAAAACTCAAAAATTCATTACCTGCACAGTCGCGACAGCCTCTACAGCTCCAGCTGCTCCTAGCAAGTGCCCGACCATAGACTTGGTTGAGTTAACCCTCAGCTGCCAAAAAGTTTGTAACGCAATTTATTGAGCAAATGAATGAATGAATGAATCTCATCAATCAAGAGCTCAGAACAAAAGTTACTTCGGGGTTTTGGCCAAAGCAGTGGACGAGGGCTTTGTACTCCTTAATGTCTCCAGCCGGCGTTGAGGTAGCATGAGCATTTATATAGTTTATGTCTTCTCTAGAGATTCCAGCTTGATTCAATGCATTCTCTATGCATAGAATAACTCCGGCCCCTGCCGATAACAGACATCTACTTCAACAGATATAACAAAGCCATCGAAAGAAAACGCTAAGATTTTCAATGTTCAGCCACTAATGGATGATAATTTCCAAAAACTACCATCAGGACGCGGCTCTGTCATGTGATATGCATCACACGTAAAACTCCCACCAAGAAACTCTGCGTAGATAGTTGCGCCTCTTCTCTACAAAACCAGGACACTTATCTACTCAAAACAATTCCATAATTAACAGAATATTATAAGCATTCAAATGGGTTCAATGAGAAACCAAGATATAAGAAACAGAATATTATCAAGCATTCAAATGGTTTCAATGATAAACCAGACAATGTAACAAAGGTCCCAAATTGCATATATATTGACATACTTTGAAGAACATAGATTAACAGAAAGTATGGAGCCAAAATTGCAGACAGGATCGAGATTGACATAAACAGCCGGGAAATAACCACCGAAATTACGTTGGCTCACTGAATATGTATGTGTATGTACCTTAGCATGCTCAAGTTCTTCCAAAAGGAGAACTCCAGCTCCCTCTCCCATCACAAAACCATCTCGACTCTGTTGTTGCAACCATGCTTAGATTTTTACTAGAGAACTAAGAATTCTGGAATATAAAACGAAATCTTCAACCACTATTTTCTTCCAGCATTACTGAGATGCATTTGTACCAAACAGCTATGAAAAAAGGCTAATGGGTTCCTCACATGTCTAATGGCACTGGTTTTACCAATGAAGTTTCAAATGGGTTGATACATTATGCAGGGAAACATGAAAGAGAAGGTACTGAGAAGGAGAAATCATCGAGAATTACACTATCCCATGGACGTGAAGCTTTGGTGGGATCGTTGTTCCTCTGCGAAAGAGCACGACATGCCACAAAACCTCCCAAACCTGCATTGATACACAAAACGCAAGATTTATGAAAAATACAATCAACAAGAAATTCGAGGAAAAACACTATATGAGAGAAAGCGTTTGTACCTATTGGAATAATAATAGAATCAGAGCCACCACAGAGCATTACATCCTAAACATTTTGGGGAGGAAACGGAAGAAATGTCAAATGAAAATGGAATCACGCGAAACGCTACAAGATGGTTGAACACCTATTTGGATACTTACAGCTTCACCTCGGATAATGTGGTTTGCTGCATTCAAAACACAGAAGTTGCTTGTCGCACAGGCAGTGGAAATGGAATAGTTTGGTCCCATCCATCCCTAATTTCTCATCACAAGAGAAAGATCGATACGAAATTCAAGGAGGTCATCACTAATAATATTCCACAATATTTGAACTGAAACTGACCAGATCCATGGCAAGCATAGCAGAACCCATGTTTGTTGTTGCAAAAGGAACACAAAAAGGATTCATCTTCCTGTATGAGATCCTCAAAGCTTCAATTGCATCATTAAAGACCTGTCTCAAGATAGATTGTTGGGTAGATCCAACAATTAGCAATATATTTCACAATCTCAAGTTAAATAGTCTTGCTGTTTCTTATGGAAACTGAGGCTGACAGATAAAGAATATCTGAATATACGACCCTCGAGCCAACACTGTTCCTGTATCTTTGTTTACATTATCCAAACCCGAAAACAGGAAGGTACCTTCATGCCTCCCATTGCAGAGCCAATCAAAACTCCGCATTTGGCTTTGTCTAATTCAGCCATCACATCTTCAGTTATCCCGCCATCAACCAACGCTTTCTTGCCAGCAGTTAGGAGATAGAGCATGAACTTGTCCATTCTTTTCGAAAGTTTCGGGGAAACCCATCCCTCGGATGAAAAATCTTTGATCTCTCCGGCTATGCTCTAGGCAAAGGAAACAACCAAACAAACAAAGAAATCAAGAACGAACCAAAACAACAGGGGAAATTAATTGCAAAAGATGCTGAGATGGCGGTTACCGTTGGAAATTCAGAACAATCAAAATTCTCGATCTGGCTAATACCACTGTTCCCTTCCAGCAAATTCTCGTAAAAAGTATCCGGATCATGACCTAATGATGTCGCCACTCCCATACCCGTCACAACAACACGTCGTTGCTCTGTAGGAGGTTTCATGTTAGTCATGGATTCTTTTCCCAGCTGCACTGCAACCGCCATGACTTCACCTAGAAACCTCAAAGACAAGATAACATCGAGTGAAAATTACTTCCATAAGTTAAAATTCACAAAGCTGGCAACTTCAAGAATTGTACAGATTGAAGTTCAAAGTTATTTTTCAATGGATCAATTAGTATCGAACTTTCTATCCCCATGAAGAGTTCAATATTGTGCATAACCTCATGCAATTCACTTAGAATGAAACTTAGTAAGCTAATGAAGTTTTCAGATAGTATCAATGGCGACGAAAAGCCAATTTGATGTATTGCCCACTTCACATTTCAGCTGAACACGGGTAAGCACTTGATGTTTTGTTCTAATTTCATCATTCTTACAATAACAAAAAGGAACAAAAGACCCATATTACAGGAACTGGGAAACAACAGAACACTATGCTAGTAACCTTGCAAACGACGATCAGAAATCAAAATTAATAAAGGATCCCAGATTGAAACACATAAACAGCAGATTTCAGAGGGGAAGGAAATTCGTACCGGAGCGGGAGCCTCGATTCAATCTCCTCTGCTTCCGATTCAAGGAAATGTTATTCGATCCAAAAAACGATGACAAGGCATTGTTGTTCCAGTGCTGGTTACAGGGTCCGAACGCCGAACAGGAATCCACGAGTGCTGGAATGCCGGTGGATCCATGGCCTCCGGCGGCTACTGAAGCGGCGGAGCATTTGGAAAGAAGTCGCTTCCGGCGAGCCCAGCGGCGGCTACTCTGACTGTCGGAATGAGCGCTGCCGCAGGCGATGGCGGCATAGCGATCTCCGCCGCCGCACGTGACGGACATGCAACCCGCCATGAGCCACGTGCACAATGGAGATGCGTAACAGGAAGACGAACCCGCCATGGAAACCAAACGTAGGGAGCTGGAACCGAAGAAGACCCAGATGAAGAGAAACGCGAAATGGATTATGGGAGGCTGAAAATCTATCAGTCGAACATAGATTTCGAGAGAGGAAGACGAATCGCTCTCTCTCTCTCTCTCTCCGGATACGTAAAGAGTGACTGGATGCGTGGATTCGTGCGTCAAGAATTCAAGATGCCAAGTCGTCCTGTGAACAACAGCGACGCCAAGCGAGAGGGAGAGGAGAACAATAAATAAATAAAATATATTAAATAATTACAAAAATATCAACCACCAGAAAACTATTTTATGATTACATTATAATTTATTTATTCATTATGGTAAATGAAGCTTTTTCCACTTTTGCCTCTGAGGGGAAATAATATGCCCAGATGTTGAATATTTGTTTATTAAATTAAAAAGTAAAAAAATAATATTTTGAAACAGTTGTAAAATTATTTTATATATTATAATATTGATCTTATAAATATATGTCGCCTCATTTACCAATATATATGTATATATTAATATTCGCCTCGGTTTGATCGGCGGGTGGTGACTCACTTGGCCATGTACTTTTCGATTTCAGGGACTGATGAAGTGCAGAAGCACTCAAGTCTCTAGCAATAGGGACATTTATAGAAAGGTCGCCATTTCACGAGTCAGACTCGTACCACATCTTTAAATATATTTTTTTATTATATGATCCAATTGTTGACGAAATTTTATTAAGTATTTTATTTATTTTTCACGTTATTGATGTTTTCTTTTATGTTTTTTTTATTTGGTTTTGTTTTTCTATATCAAATAATATTAAATTTTAATAAAATAATTGCAACAAACTTCGTTGCTTCTTGGCTATTACCCCCACCTTTTTAGGATTTGAATGAAATTAAATCCAATTGAATTTATATGTACATATTAAAATACAAAATATTCTTTTAAATATGGATTGAACAAAAAATAAGGTGCATATAAAATCTAAATAACCAATAGTTTTATTACTCATAATAATAAATAACGTACATTATAAAAAATATATATTTGAAAATCGATTAAATAATCATAAAATTATGTACTGCAAGAAAAAAAAAATAACGAAAGTTATTTAGATACGGACATCTGAAAAATTCGTGTCCACTAGATAAAACAATAAAATATATATTTCACCGCAATTAATAGTTAATTTCTAATGAATGTAGATTTCGTGTTGATATTTGTATTAAAACTACGAAATTTCCATATTTTTACGTCGCCTCCAATGTATAAGTAATTTTTATGTAAAATATATAGATAATAATAAAATAAAATAAAAGAGCCTCGCAAAAACAATGCAAACATTCTCTTCGGAATATGGACTTTCGTAAAACCAAAATAAAACATAATGTCTCGTCTTAATTTTTACAAACATTAGAGTACGACGGTAGATTTAGATTATCACACAACCTTCCAACTACCATAAAAAACATTTAAACATAAAATATAAATTTTTATGAATATATTCATACTCTAAAAAAACAATCAAAATTTATATACAAAAAAAAACTAACACGCTCAAGAATTAAAAGTATCTAATAAGATAAACTTATAAAGATGCGGATATAAAAGATCAAAACTCACATTTGGCAATTAATCAAGATAACGCAATATAATTAACGCTCGTAATGAATTTTATCAGTTTATCCAACATTCAAAATAAAATAAATTCAATAATCAAATTACACCAAATATACAAAGCAGAACACAAAATCTAGACTTGTTAATAAAAACAAAATTAAGTGCTACCTAATTATATCTATCCTCATAAATAATATATATAATGCCATCACCGACAACTACGTTTAACTAATTAAAGCATGTTACACATATTTTTTTTTATTTCGATTATAATATAACATCATCAATATTGAAAATCTATTCATCATTTATTATGTACATATATATATATATATATATATATTAGACTAATTATCTCTATATATATGTGTGTATATATATTAATATATGTATAGTTTTGTCTTGTTCGCGTTCTGTTATTTGGACCAATAAATTTTAAAATAAATAAATTGCTGCCAGCTTATTTGCTTAATATTGCACAAGGGGTATTGGCCCCAATGCATAAGATTGTTTCTAATCATCTTTAAGATTGGCATATCAAACTTGTGGCTCTTATTTGAAAGTATAAGTTTGGTACAACAATTATCTAATGTACTTGAAAAAATCAAAGGTAATCTTGGGACAAATATATTTATTGTAAAAAGATGAACTTTTTTAATTATGAAATAACTGAATTAATATTAATATGCAATAGTCATAGTTATTCAATTAATATTTTCGGGACGGGAATGCATCGATTCGGTTTTACAAAAAAATAGGTACCAAACAGTTTTTATATTATGTTCGGTTCGGTTTGGTTTCGTTACCGGTTCAGTTCGTTTCCGGTTTTTATTAAAAAGAAGATAGATTTTTTAAAGTTTGGTTCAGTTCTGTTCGTTTTCGGAAAATTCGGTTCTCTAAAAATAATACCGTTTCGAGAATTTAGAACGGTTTGAATCGGTAAAAATATCGTTTTTCGGTTCGGTTCGGTTCTGAAAAACCGAACCAAAACGTCCAGCTCTAAACTCATCTAACAAAAAGAACCGTACATTTTTCACGAATATACGTAATAATAATACACGTTTCAATTGGATATTCTATTGAAGGGATTTGTCGAATATATACCATGTATATATATATACACACACACGCACATGTACAACTCGAAAATATGTTCATATATATGATGTAAACATGAACCTATGGATTTGACATACAGGAAAAAAAAAACGTACATGTGTTTGTGTTCATAAAAGGGTAACATGCACATGCAATGTATGTGTGCATTCATTTTCGGTTTTAATGATACATACGTATGGTGTAAGGTGATATTTATATAAATTTATATTTTTATAATAAAGCTTAATGACATTTAACCAACTCATCCTTTAAAAAAAAATCAATAACGCGTTCAAAATGTCTGAAAATAAACATTATATCAAATTATACAAACTAAACATCACATTCAGGTAGATATATGTATGTATTCGATTTTTATTGATTCTTGAAGCGAATATTACGTACAAAACGAGTCCCACGCGCCATTCTGATGCCATGAAGCGGAAATCAGCTGAAAAGGAGAAATTTCTCCGGACTTTAGAGCGCGTGACGTCCCTCCCTCCGTTTGCGCGTGGAATTAACTTCAGCCCCCCCAGCCTTGGGACCCCTTAACGAGTTTGGGAAAATTGAAAAAAAAAAAATCGAATTTTTTTCTACATGTTAAGCATAATGACATCTAATCTAACATTTTTATACGATATATAAATCATATGAAAAAAATATATTTTTTCATTTGGAATATATGTTTGATTAGTATTCGATTTGTTCAGTTCAATTAAATTCAAGATTATATACCAAACCGAAATATTCATCTATGGTTTAAATATTCTATATCTATATTATTTTCATTGATCACCCAGAAAAAAGATCAAGATAATCGTCAACTATCATTTTAATATCATACAAATTCTTCATTTTCACTCGTTTCGGTTTAAAATTAGATATAATCAAAACAATTTCAATATATTAATTAATTAATAATAATAGTATAAAATGAAACCAAGAGAGAGCAAAAGTCATGGAGCAACATAAACTGCATGGAGTCAAGGCGGGTAAACCAATATTCACATAACTAAAACAAATAATTTGCATGCGAACTTCACCACCTCTAACAATCTCCACCAAAACCTCCCTAATTCATGGTCCACCATTTTATACTTGCTTTTTCAGGTTCATAATTTTAAATCTTGTACTCACAATTCATGATCATATACTATGGCGTGTTTGTAAATAAATTTTTTAGATTGAAAAATTTAATTAGACGTGTCGGCCAGTGATTGGTCGAGTAGTTCATTGTTCACTTGGATTTACTTGATTTTTTTTTTTTTGTAAGTTAGTGATCGGTGTAGAAGTTCATTACACCATTCGATTTGCATGATGTTTTCCGACCACGTTTTCGATATGTTTTTTTTAATTGTTGTCTTTAATAAAAGCTACTACTTGTTTTGATTGACTTTAAATTAGTTAGCACCTTTGTATTTATGATAGTGATTAATATTAAAACACAATAAATAAATACAATGAGCAATGCTCAATTATATGCTCGAATCGAATTCTAGTGTGATATGATCAAGTTAAGAATTTTCTACTCGAGCTTTTTAATCTTATTCGGATAAAAAAAATGTAAACTAAAACTTAGGAGATATTTACACAATATCCACATAAACGTTACAAAATAAAATTATAAAGTATTAAAATTGACCAAGAGAACGTAGTTTACAGTGCTCCTGTCATTAGCCGTCAACGAATGTTAGATCCACAAGAACTAGATATGTAACCAATATATAGCTAATTTTTTTTCATTATAAAAATAAAAAATAAAATAAAAACCTAAGGTAAGGCTGTTCTATGCCTCGTGCACTAGATTTTTTTTAATTTATTTATTCAAATACATTATAGTGAGGTACAAATAAATTTTATTAGAGTTATAACACGGACACATTTGGGCAAAGACCGTGAAGCGTACGGCTGGACGTGGTTTCCTCGGCAGTGCGTATCCATTAAATTTGGTATTCGGCCGAGGCAACTATGAAATCGAGTGCGTGCTGTCGGGAAATCTGAACTGTGGGTTGAAGTTCGGGTTTATCCGTCGATTACTGCATCTGCTGATAACCCGAACTGACGGGCAAAAAGGACAAGCCGAGACGAGGAGCGCGAGACCGCAAATGGCGAGATGAGAGAGGCCGAGAGAGCGAGGTGCGAGAGGGCGATTTTGACCGCTTTACCCTCTTGCCTCGTTGTTCAGTTGTCCCACAAGTATCCGGGTCCTCGCCGGTACCCAACGCTCAGATATTCCGCCCTGGTACTATACCCGAAAAATCTGATAGCGCGTGGCCAGAATCTGAGTGTACCGAAAAACTTAGATATCTGACTCCACGTACACCCAGAATAGCTAAGCAATTCTTCGCCATAATTTCGGATACATTAAAAATCGACGAGTGGATACAATTCACATGCTTAGGTCTCCGACTCTATCCAAACGAAACATAAACGGGGGTGGTTTTACATGAAAAGACGTACACTTGCATCACAAAGGAAAGAATGAAAACTAACAAAGGCATTCCGAAAGATCGTACCGAGAGCTCAACGTTTCGAGTACTGAGGAGCCTTACGCGCCTTCTTGAGACCGACCTTCTTTCTTTCGACGACTCTTGAGTCTCGGGTAAGAAGGCCTTCTTTCTTAAGAGGCGACCTGTGGTCAAGGCTCACTTTCAGCAACGCACGTGCAACCCCGAGGGAGATTGCCTGAGCTTGACCCGAGAGTCCTCCTCCATGTGCTTTTACAAACACGTCGTAGCTGTTCTCATACCCTAATGTCACTAGCGGCACTCTTACGTACTGAAGCCACAGCGGATTTCCCTGGAGATACTCCTGAAATGGGCCAAAAACGTATCATCGGAAACTTAGCATATGGATTCTGCAACACAAGAATCAGATTCGACAATCCTTTCTCACTATCTTGTTATACATAGAGCCGTGTTTAGTCATGTATATGTATGTCCTTTTCGGTTAGGTTTCAGCCATTTGAGCTCATAATGAAGCATCAAAGAAGAGTGAGTTTTCAGCATTTGGCCTGCGAAAAATTGGCCTCGAATCCATCCGAAGAACCACAGATCCGGTTCATTCAAAGCCAGCGTTCAACACGGGCCTACAGCCTCTAGATCACAAAAAAAGGACAGAATTCAGAGTTCTTATGATCACAAGACTGATTTGTGTGCATAACAGAGGCTCTCATAACACAATTCGAAGTTAATCTGACCTAATTCTCATGGTTTGCTCCGCACCCATGAACTTTCTGATACAATTCCGCAGTTTCCATCAGAGAATCAACTCTTGCAGTATCAAGCACTCATGCAAATCCGATAAAATTGTTAAAGAAGAACATTTTCTTTTTAGCATTTCATCCTCAGCGACTTACGAAATTAATAATAGAAGAACGTGATCAATTCCAATATGGTAACCCTAAATTTACACAAAACCCAAGCGAGCGAACATCGAATATAGCCCATCAATCACACTCTCCCCCTCCATTCCTTAACATTCACAGAACCAACAAAGAGATATGGAACCGACAAAATGCACGGAAACAACTCAAATACCTTAGCGTCACGGTAGTTGATGATGACCTTTCCGGTACCCTCCTGAAGCACAACACGAGCAATGGCGCACTTACGCCGACCAGTTCCGATGACCTTCTGAGCGGCGAATCCGCCGGGAAGCCTCGATTTTACGTACTTCTTCAAGTTCTCCGTCTCTGCCTCCGCCGGAGAAGTAGCCACCGTGGCGGTGATCGTGAGCGTAGCGCGGCGGCGGGACGTCGCCGGAGAAAGGGACACCGAATTCTGTCGGGAGAAAGATAGGCAGTTCGGTATCTGAGAAACGTTCGAGGAGAACGAGAGAGAAGAGAGAGATGAAGTGAGATTAGAGATCGATAACGCCATTGTTATGGAGCTCGAAGCAAATCAGGAGCTGTGAAGAAGAGTCGCCGAAGCAAGAAGATAACGGGGGGAGGTGAGCTTTTGGATGAGGTAGCATCTCCGTTAATGAGCTGGATCGAGGTGGTATTGGGCCTGAAAAAGCCCATAATAGTGATATTTTTGGAAAGGCCCATAAAAATCGTTTCATTTTAAACTACAATGAGTCGGCTACCGGCGAAAGCTGCAATGGACTCCGACGAAGTCTCCTAGGTAATCCGCCGGCGAATCCTTAGATTTTCCGATGCTTCGTCGATCTCCGGCACGAGTTGCCTCTCATGTATTTCTTCCTCTTATCCGTCTCCGTGGATATTCCGACGTGCCACTCTTCCCCCGCCGGAAGCTTCGGGTCGGACGCGGGCTGACCCGACCCGAATTGGTCGAGCGTGTCTCGCGCTTGCTCGTGCTCGGGAGGTACGAAGCTTTACAAGACATCTCTCTCAATTTCTCCGATGACCTTCTCAACTCTGTGCTCCACAAACTCAGGCTTAAGCCTGAGGCATGTCTGAGGATCTTCAAATTGGCCTCGGAACAGCAAGATTTCCGACCAGATATTGAGGCTTACTGTAAGATAGTTCACATTTTGTCCCGAGCTAGGATGTACGACGAGACCAGATCGTATTTACGTGAATTGGTTGGTCTATGTAGGAACAATCACACGGGTTTCCTTGCTTGGGATGAGCTCGTTCGGGTTTTCAAGGAGTTTTCGTTTTCTCCTACTGTTTTTGACATGGTATTGAAGGTTTACGCCGAGAAGGGCATGATTAAGAACGCGTTACATGCGTTTGACAACATGGGGAACTATGGTCGTGCCCCAAGTTTGTTGTCCTGTAATAGTTTGTTGAGTAATTTGGTTAAGAAAAGTGAGTACTATGTTGCATTACGTGTTTATGATCAGATGATTAGCTATGGGATTGTGCCAGATGTTTTCACGTGCAGTATTGTTGTGAATGCTTATTGCAAGGACGGGAAGTTGGATAAAGCTGAGAAATTTGCAAAACAAATGGAAAATTCAGGTCTGGAACTGAATGTGGTGACTTACAATAGTTTGATTGATGGGTTTGCCCGAGTTGGGGATGTCGAGGGAGCTTTAAGGTTATCTCAGTCTATGTCACAAAGAGGAATTTCTAGGAATGTAATCACTTATACTTTGTTGGTTAAGGGTTACTGTAAACGAGGTATGATGGATGATGCTAGAAGGATGTTGAAATCGATGAAGGAAGAAAATCTTGTTGCAGATGAACGTACGTATGGCGTCTTGATAGATGGATACTGTCGCAGTGGTAAAATCGATGATGCTATTAGGGTTCATGAGGAAATGATGGAGATGGGAGTTAAAACAAATATATCCATTTGTAACTCCTTGATCAATGGGTATTGCAACTCTGGCCAGTTATTAGAAGCGGAGCGGACACTTTTGCAGATTGGAGATTGGAACTTGAAACCAGATACTTACACTTATAATACTCTCGTGAATGGCTATTGCAGGGATAGTCGGTTTAATGAGGCTTTAAAGGTTTGTGATCAAATGCTTCAGAAAGGAGTCCAACCAACGGTTGTGACATATAATACTCTTCTCAAAGGTTTCTGCCGAGTTGGTGCCTTTGATGATTGTTTGAGCCTTTGGAAGGTGATGTTAAAAAGGGGTGTGACAGTCAACGAGGTTAGCTGTAGCACTATGCTAGAAACATTGTTCAAGGCTGGAAACTTTGATCAGGCTATGAAGCTGTGGAAGAATATCCTGGCGAGGGGCTTATTGCAAAGCACGGTTACTTTAAACGTTATGATAAATGGATTGTGTAAGATGGGGATGGTTGATGAAGCCGAGGAGATTCTTGTAAAGATGAAAGAATTCCGATGTCAGCCAGATGTGAAGACGTATCAAACACTTAGTGCCGGCTATTGTAAAATTGGAAACATGAAGGAAGCTTTCAGGGTCAAAGACTCAATGGAGAAGGAGGGCATCTTCCCTACCATAGAAATGTACAATTCTCTGATTACTGTTGCTTTTAAGTCTATAGACTTGAGTAAAGTGGCAGATCTTCTCACCGAGCTACATGCAAGAATGTTAGTTCCTAACGTTGTAACATATGGAGCCCTTATCACAGGCTGGTGCAATGTCGGAAAGATGGATAAAGCCTATGCTACATATTTTAAGATGGTAGAGGAAGGGATTGCTCCGAGTTTAGCCATTTGCACTAAGATTGTGAGTAGCTTGTTCCGTCTTGGTAGGTTTGATGAGGCTAGTTTTCTGTTGCAGAAGATTACTGACTTTGAACTTTTCCCCGATCATCAGAGCTTTCGGGACTTCCTTAAGTCTAATGCCAAATGTCTAGAAACACAGAAAATTGCCGATTTTCTCGAGATGACTCCCAGGAATCACTTAGAACCCAACAACATTGTGTACAATATCGCTCTGTCAGGGCTATGTAAAGCTCGGAAAGTAGATGATGCGAAAAAATTGTTGGCAGACTTGTCACGGAATGGGTTTATGTCCGATGAATATACATACACAACCCTGATTCATGGCTGCTCAACTGCTGGTAATCTAAATGAAGCTTTCAGCCTGCGAGATGAGATGCTTAAGAAATATATTGTTCCGAATATCGCTACATACAATGCTCTAATAAAAGGCCTGTGCCAGTCGGGTAATATAGAGCGTGCTCAGAGGCTTTTCCGAAAGCTTCCAAAGAAGGGTTTGTCTCCTAATGCTGTTACATACAACATATTAATTGATGGACTGTGCATAACTGGTAGTATTGACGAAGCCTTGCGTTTGAGAGATGAAATGGTTAGAAATGGAATTCTTCCAACACTAGTAACCTACGGTAGCTTGATTAGAGGAGCTTACGAGCTAGGGGATATGGAGAAGTCGAAAGAGCTTTTCGATCAGATGATCGAGTCAGGCATAAATCCGAGATTTATTATGAATAAGAAATGTAACGACGTGGACAACATATGCCACCCTCCTGGCATGGAGATGAATATTGAGAACTCAGTCTCTGGTTTTAGCAGTTGCAAAGAAGTTGCACGGACTGGGCTTTCTTCTGATGTTACGACAGTGTCCGATTCCTATGCAGTGTCTGAAGCCGTGTCATGAAGAAGATCCGTCAGTCATTACTTTATTTGCACCTAACAGCTTCAACTTTTGCTGTTGGTTTCCTGCTCTTAGTGAGATGAATTTTCTTAGATCTCATTGGCGAGCTGCTCTGAGAAAGAACAGTATTGCCCAAGAATCCAAAGAGTTGGATTCGACTCATCATTGTCGTTTTAGTTCTCGTGGTTTTTGGATAGATACCGCGAACATCTCTGACGAAGAAACTGCAATTTCGGGCATTTTGCTATTTCGTACAACTCACAGACATGGAGCCTGAAGTTTCTGCTGCAACTAAAACCACGAGATCAACCTTTCGGATATGCAGTTCCTGTTGTCATGCTACTGTAAGTGTTCTGATTACCATTTTTTCCGAATACCCGTCTACATAAGTCTTAGGAGCGTTAGTTCGGCACATGAATCTCGTAACTATGATCTCGCCAAAGCGATAACCAATAGGCATGTCGAGAGGAAGGTTCTATTATAAGTTGGTCGGTCCATGATATAAACTTATAGATTCGATAATCTCGCCTTTTTCATCATGCCTGTCCATGGTAAGCTACGGAATCGATGATGTTATCTTTTTTTCTTTTTCCAGGTTTATATAATCCGAGATGATGATCAAGTCACTACTGCTCAGAATCAGTAATGTGCATTCGAAGCTTCGGTTTGGATATGCGCAAACTGATCAACTCTTCCTATCGAACGTTGAAAGTGGCACACAAGGTTAGTGAATCTGTTGCTTCAAATCAACACACCACCAGTTCATCAATGATGGGTACTTGAAACATGTAGTAAGAATCTGACATTTCAGCTGTTTTTTTCACTGCATTTGAACTTCCGTTTTGGTTTGGTTTGGTTGTGATGTGTTGTGTCCGAAAGGGATGCATCATCTAAAGAGGAAAGGAAACTTAGGTTTCCAGATTCCTCTTGAGGTTTTCTACAAGTTATGTATGTTGTGTGAAAGGGAGAGGGTGTAAAGGATCGGTCTTCCGGTTTGGTTAAGATAGAAATGGAACCGAAAAGCAATCAAAACCAAAACAAATCCGGTTCGGTTCAGATCTTTCTATATTTGGATTTGTGGGGATTCACTGTGTTTTATCGGTTTTTATCAGCCTCAAAATGAGTGGTTGCAGGTAGTTTACAACGACAAAACAATATCAAAGGAGAGTTTTTGGGTGTTAAGATTTCGGACATGGCATGTGTAAGTCGATGGAAAGCTATTCATTGATAAATCTTTTTTTTTCTAATTAAAACATAAAAAATAAAAGGAAAAAAACTATTTAACTTTATTTCCCATTACAGTTTCAATTATAAAAATATCCAAATAAAAAAAGATGTATCTTTGAAAACTATATTATTTATTAATTTATATTTAACTTCAAAATTTATATTTTTATCTTATTTGTGAACGATATTATTATTTCCAAATAGAAAAATATATTGTGTTATCATTTACGGTTTCTGATTTATTTAATACATTATCCACATAAACACCATTCACCGAAATTGTATCTTCTCCAAACTTGAATTCTCAAAAATTCTATTTATCATCCACAATTAATTTTTTTATTATAAAAAAATTATGATTTAATTTTTACAATCTATAAATGATAAATTAATATCATAACTATATTTTTAATTATAATTTTAAAAAATAAAAATTAAATTATAAATGAAAATGTTTTGTTTTATTAAAAAAATTAAAATTTATTAAGATGTGTGGAAATTACAATAATTAGATCATTTTCTACAGTTAGTATTTTTTAAATGTTTTCCTTGAAAACAATCGATCGAAAAATTTAATATCCTTTTTTCATTTTTTGATATATTTCTTTTTTAAAAATTAGAATGCTATCTTTTTCACTCATAAACAAAGACAAGAAATTTTGAACACACTCAAATTGATTTGGCAGATTTCTTATTACATATATATTTGCATATCCTTCTCATGCTATCTCAAAATAAAGCCCTCGTAATATAAAAAAAAAATATTTCGTACACTTTTCAATGAATTGTTAATTTCAAAATTTATGAAAGGTGTTAATTCGTAAATACATATATATATTTTGTGGTATTTTAAAAGTTAGTGAAAAAACTCAAAGGTCAAAGTCAAATTGTCTATCAATGCTTTGATGGGACTTGATTTCCCATCCTCCCACCGACAACTGAAGGCTTCAATTATATTTTTAGCAGGACCAATAAATAACATTGGCGGGATAACCATTATTAAGTGCTTACGTGCAAATACACACACGCATACATAATACTACTACACACCCATACATAGCGAACGCACATATATATATATATATATAGACGTACACACTCACACATTTTTTTTTTGGATAACGGAATCCCTAACTGCTATCCTTCGGACGTGCTGACTAGGTAAACCTTCGACCCGAGAACAGCTTTTGTATATGGATCATATAAACCCAGAAATTACCTCTAGGAATCGAACACTCAACTTCAAGGTGGAGTTACCTCCTACCCCAAACTTGACCACTCGCCTACAATCTGTTGGGTTCTGAAACACATTTGTATTTGCACACATAAAAATACACGTACGCACACACACTTTATATATAAATACACATATCATACATGATCATATATACGCCTCCATAAATACACACATTTGAACACATATGCACACATACAACATACATAACTATGTATATATATACACACACAATTTATGTACATATAAATGCATATACACTTACATGCACATACATACGGATACACACTCATACAAACACATATATATAGGGGTGTATATGTGTGTATACATGTTAATTTTATGAATGTACAATTTGATAAAATTTATTTGTGATACAATAAAAAATAAAATATACAATTGAAAATTTAAAACCAATTCGAAAATATAAAAAAATTTATCAATATGAGAAATGGATAAATATAGAAGCAGAAGTACCATATAACGACAAAAACATCCAATACATAATAGAAACATACATTTATGTCCATATCCATAGACCCATAGCTTATAAACACTTTATAGAAAATAAATTTAGTTTTGCCATTTTTTTAGCATAATTTATCAAAGAAAACAAAGGGCGACAATCTGAAACTCTATTTTATGTTCCATCCTCCGAATTTTACTTCGAAAATTTGTAATTATAATTGTATACATAATTCGTTATGCCTTCACATCTATATCATTTATTTTCCTATATAAGATGATTTTTTTTTTATAAACATGTAATATCAAATGCAAACGATATATATCTATATGCGCCTAAATATTCCAAATCTGTTTAGATCTGAGATGGTGAATATGAATGTTGTATAAGGAAAAAAAAATACATGGATTTAGCTTAATAGACACAATTAAAATAGAAGAGAATCTCATGCTATTTTTTGAAGGGATCATATTTTAGAAAACAAAAAATACGTGAATTACCATACAAAACCGATACCTGTAGATCCAAAAAATACATTCCAAAAGACGAATATATAATAATTACATGATTAAATAAATCCTTTATAATAATATAACAATCATGACCAGAGAAATTAGGGGAAAAGTTTTCATTTTCATTTTCATTATGAATCAAATGGAAACAAATGTTTATCGAATTAATATACATAAAAATGTTACATGTATATTTTAAATATACACCCAACAAAACTAAATTCCGTTAACTCGTTTCAAAATCCGACCATTTCACCTTATTTTTTTCCCTTCCGACAATTTGCCGTACGATTAGCGATCAATCACGAATCCAACGAAAACGGCGTTTGTAAAAGATCGTAAGGAGCCCAAAGCGCGTCCAGTGAACACGGCCGACCAGCGTCCAGACGCGCCCATGGCTTCCCTTTCCCGCTCCAATGGAGCAAACTCACCGGACCCGGATGCAAATCCCGACAAAGCCCCCGGAAATTGTCGCCGCCGAGACCGTGCTGGTTCCACCGGTGGTCCACCGGTCGGATCTGGCCCGCGAAAACTAGCAAAAAGGGGGGTAGAGATCCGAGCTGGTAGATCCTCGTGCGCTTCTGCATTACCATCCACTCCTCTATACGCGCCGTGTACGCGCCCACGCGCCACCGTGAGAGGTCAATGACCATGACTCCGGTGTTGAAGTAACACGGTCTCCGACTTCGGTCGGAGAACGTCGACGACAGCGTCGGATTGGACCAAAACTTTGTCGTGAAGTAGGAGGTAAAGTTGGCGTTGCAGTATTCCGGCGCGGCGAGGACGGCGTCTTCGAGGTCGGTGGCGGCGAGTTTGGCGACGTCATCGACGAGGACGAGGTCGGAGTCGAGGTATACTACTCGGCGAAGGCACGGCGGGAGGATTCCGTCGAGGTAGCTCCGGGCGTAGTTCAGAGGGCAGTCCAAGGCGGAGCGGATGGAGGAAGATATGAGGCGGGAGACGGTGGAGTCTTTGAAGACATAAACACGAAAGTTTAGGTAAGGAAATGAGGAAGAGACGGTGGCGCGTAGGGACCACGCGCCGTCGGAGGATGCGGAGGTAATGAAGTGGAAGACGATGTTTTCAGGGCATGAGGAGTGTTGGAGGATGGAGAGGATGGCGGCCATGGAGCCGCGAATGTAGGCCGCGTCGAGGGTCATCGCCACGTGGACGGCTCGATCCGAGCAGAAGATGGATTCTCCGCCATCAGATTCGCCGGAGACGATGGAGGGGCAATCTTGAGAGTTATAGAACTGTGGGGCTTCTTTGAAATTTTGAGTAACTGCTGCGGCATTTGTGGGATTTAGAAGAATTTGAGTTGCGGTGATGATGAGAGAGAGAATCAAGAGGAGAGATTGGTGTTGAGACATGCTCTCTTTGTGGAAGTCTCTGTTTGGCATCGGACCTTTTTAAATGAGAGAGAGAGAGAGAGAGATTTTGCTTAGGTTGGGGGCTTTCATAAGAGTTGATTAATTAATTAATTAATTAGATTTCAAGCTCTTTTCATATAGTCTTGTCTTTATTCTTGAAATATCGTTTAATTATATCTAACAAAAAAGTTATCGATTACAAAATATTTTTGGTGGATGAAATATTATTTCACTAAATTTTGTAACCTTTTAACTTTCAATATTCTTGTTATGACATAATTATGTACGTGATTTGTTCATGAATCGGTCATTGGGTTGCCACGGTCTAGTTTTATGCATATATATAACTCTAAATTTAGTGAGGTTTGAATTCTTGATATAATGGGTATATTTATTTTTAGAAAAAGGAGACGTGAAAACTTTTATATTTTAGTTCAATTTTCTATTTTCTTTTTTTTTTTGTAAAGAAAATTACAACTATTTTTCTTTTATTTTACAGAAAACTTATAAAATTTATTTATGTCATATATATATATATATATGAATCGATATTGACGGACGTCTATAAAATTGGAATATATGATATTTCACAATTGAGAGCACTTGCACCATATATATTTTAATGACCTAACAAATCCTATCTCCTAACCTTCAAATATTTTTAATAGAATGATCCACAAAAATATCATATGTTCAAGTAAAAATGAGATAATATTTGTATTCTAAAACTGTAATAATTTTTGTCACAATTGTGACGTTTTTAATAAACACATGACAAACGAACTAATGACTTAATGGTACTTTTTTTGTGTAATTACAAAATAATATTTTGCATAATCAAATTTTCATGTATTTTAAATTCGTTTTTTTCTCTATTAATAGTTAAACTCTTAATAATAATATCACTTTTCGTATATATTTTTAAGAAAAGAAAACGCGTAGGACCAAACAAAAGATTATATTTCATTCCAGAAGTAAGATTTTTTTCCACTCATCCGCCAGTGTGAAATAGCTGGAACTTTTGCATATTTTGTAAAATAATATTTTGGATATTTAGAATTCGAATGAAAATTAAATAAGACATGATAAATTATTATTATTATTATTATTATTATTATTATTATGTAAATACAAATGGGCTTGTTCATGAAATCCCATCCGAAGTCTAAAAAGGGTCCATCCCTCTTTCAAAAGATAATTTCATTTAATTATTTACATGGCATTTTCTTGTTTTTGTTTTAAAAAAAATAATTTTGAGTGATGATTTTTGATGTTTTAGTGCTTAGAGTTCTCTTTTAGTTCTAATAAATTATTTACTTGAATAAAATTTGGTAAAGCAAAAAAATATTAGATATAATAAATATCTAGATGTTAGGTTTATATATCGGATTATTTCATGGTAGAAAATAAATACTAATGTCCAAACCAATTTTTGCCTTTCTTCAGATCCTATGAACCTAACGAATGTAGCTATATGGCTCTGTACTTCACAATAAATAAATATATGTGAAACTTCCCAAAATAAAAAAATAGGAAATGAAATAAACATGCATCCATTAATGTTTAACATTTAAAAAAATAGTTAGAAACATCGAATTGCAAGTGTATTGATGATATACATAAACATCCATAACTTTCATCGGTCTTGCAGCGTGGTACATGTTGCCCATAACATCGCATGTAATCGTTATGTACGAGAATGTTGCATTGAATTTGTAACCCACTCTTCAGTTGAGATTCCGTATTCAATTCTCAAAATGCATTATCACATTTCAGATTCGGTTTGTTTGGTTCGATTTGAGGGTAAGTGAAACAAAACTGGATCCGGTTTCGAACCTTATTAGATTTGGTTTTGGTTTTATCCGGTTTGTACGATAAATTACACATTGGATTTGGTTGGGTTCGACCAAAATGTAATCGAAATGTCAATCCCCTGACGAATTGTTAGGAATATGATTGAAGATGTTCTTAACGTGTGTAGATAAATGTTTATACGAAAGGCATTTCGTGTGAACTTTTGACTGTCGATAAAATGGTGTCATCATGACCGTCGATTTTGAGATATGATCTGAATCGTCCATTCTCAGAAGAATCTCGACCATGGATCTTGTAATAGGATCTAGAGCGTCCATTAGAAGATGCGCAATCTAGGCCATCGATCATGGCATGAGATCTCGACCGTCGGTCCAAGATGAACTTGACAGGCTCTTGCCTCTTGGGCCCATCCGAGAAATACCGGATTTGGATCTAAATTTGTAGGCCCAAACAAATTCTGGGAATTTTGGGCTGAGTTTAAATTAGGCTTTTATCCGGTTTGAAAATCCGATTTAATTAAAAGAAATAAATGCAAAAAATAAAATTTATCAATACAAACAAATAAGGTTTTAAACGGGTCGGGTCGGTTCAGTACGCCCCGGTCAAAATCCAAACCCGAAAATCAGATTTTTATATATTTATCAATATTATTTTAACCATTCTTATTTCTCCATATATTTACACTCTTTTCCAATACCTTTCATAATTTGTTACTAAAGAAAATTTCATATAAGTATATCAACTATAACAAATAAATATATAAACTTTTAATTTTATCTAATTAATATCTCAAATATTAAAATATTTTAAATTAATAGTTTAGATTATTAATTACTATTGATTTTGTGAGTTGAAATATTTTAACATTTAAAATATTCTAATATTTAAAGTATTAATTAGATTAAATTAAAATTTTAGATATTTATATGATATATTTATATATAAAACAAGATCGTATATTATCCGATTTTTTTTATAATAACATTTTTATTAGATTCGTGAATTTATCTGGAACTTTTTAACTTATATAATATATATTAATATTAATATAAATATCGTCTCGTAGAATTTTATCGGGTCCATTTAACCAAAAAAAATAAAAATTTATCGGGTCGCGAGTGTCAGCTCCGGGACTATCGCGGCGGCTTCAAACGACCAAAAAAGCCCATTCTACAGTATTAACGTTGACTTTCTGTGTCCCTCAGCGAATCGCATCGCTCTGTTACTGTGCACCTCACCGTCTCAGATCCCAACCGGCGCCCCAGATTGGACCCGCAAGGCAGATCCTTCCCTGAAAATTCTTCGAGATTCGCACTTCCCTGTTTCATTTATCTTCTTCTTCGTCCTCATCCACTGTTTGCGCTCAAGCTTTCTCCAGGTACGTCCCTTCTTCTTCTTCCGGATTTAGTCTGTGATCGTTCTGTATTTTTTGGGTATATTTTTTCTGGCTTTTCGAGATTTTCGAGAAGTGCCTCTGCTCTTTCTCCGTTAGATTTTGCTACTTCGTCACGTGGGATCTGATTTCCCTAATTTTAAGATTTTTATATATAAAAACTTGCAATCTTTGTTGTTATTTCTATATAATAACATCTTTTATAAGGCATCTAAACAAACGTGTTCTTGTTTTTATCCTAACTAGTAATCGTCGATCCGTAGAAAGAATGCTCTTGCATGTGAGATAAAATATTCCAGCTGCGTAATAAATGTGAATGCTTCTAGAACACCATTTCGAAATCATCCTTAACTAACACGTACTTAAAATGTGTTAAATATTATTCTCATATTAATTAAAGTCAAATATACTTAAAACATCTAAAATCCTATACGTAAAAAATATAAATGGCATAGAAATTAGAAATCGCTTAAAAAGAATTCTAGAAAGACGATAAGATAAACATCTTTGGAAAATGAAACGCTCCAAATTGACCGAAATAGATAATTTAGTAAGGATATAATGTTATTGTTTTATCCATAGGACCGTTAAATCCATATGATACGTATATGCATTTACAGTCAATTAAATCTATATGTTTTGTCCATTTCTTCGTCTTTCTTCTTATCCTTTTCTTTGGCTTCGGGAATATGATTTTTCTCCATTTTTTCTTTTTTTGACACGAACATCTAGAAACATTTGATTGCTGTATGTATACGTTAATTTTTAAAAATATTTTAAAATATCTTATTTTTTAAAAATATCCAATAAAATTTAAAATAATCTAGAAGATCTAAATAAAATTTTATCTTTATTAACATATTCCAAAAAATCTATAATTGTTGTGATTTAAATATATTTATGATATTTATATATAATTTTAAATTAGGATTGAAATAGATAAATATTAAATTTATATTTTTTTATATTTATAAAAATAATGATTTATTCGAATTTTTAAATAATTAAGATTTTCACAGTATATTGTTGAAAATAAGAAGTTATTGAATGTTTTTTATTTCAATATATTTTTCTACTATGATATATAATATTTCAATAATTTTATGATTTGTTTGCGCAATAATAATGATACATTAATAAATCATAAAATACATGAAAATCTTTATTTCGTTTTTAAATTTTGAATTTGTGGAATGTGAATCGACTGACGAGATAATTATTATTCCAATCTACTGGATTTGATATTTCATTTGCTCATATATATATATATATATTAATTGTTTTCTAACTTGTGGCTACAACTTATTATATATTAAATAATCTATGTTGGTTAAAAATATAATAGATGGCTATTATGCAACTATTACTACGAAGCAACAAAAAAAAAAGAATATAAAATAGGTGTAATTTTCGTATCCAATATTTTTTTAATCTGACCGACAGTAACCATTTTTGAATTTGTAATTAGATAATAAGAACAATTATGCAACATAATATTATAATAGTAGCCGGTTTTGTCCGGCGTTGTACACATGCATATTTTTTATTTTAATTTTTTACGTTTTTTATTCGTTCGTCGTAAGTGCTTAGGTATACTTAATCAGACCACAGCATTGCATTGGTCATAGATGAAAATAAGCATGTAAGGACATACCGACCTTTTATAAACAATAAAAAAATAATAATTGTTCCAAATTAGCTTAAAAAAAACGATTTTATCCGCAAAATAATCTAATAATTTTTTTAAATTATTTCATGTAAATTTTTCATTTGTTTAACCTTTCAATTTAAGTATCTAATCTTTAAAAAATTAAAGATTTGAAATGGGCCACATAAAATTTCTACATTGTCTTTTTCGACAAAAAGAAAACATTTTCTTACTAACTCCGAATATAATGTAATAAAATTTCTACATATCGATTTTAGATTTGATTTGAATTTTATTTAAATTAAATTTGGATTAAAGTTTAGTAGTAAAAACATTTTAATTATTTTAATATTCGAATTGTATTCGTTTAATTTGATTTGAAAAATGACATAAAATAACATTCTATTTATGTATAAAATATATATTATTGAATATTTCTATTGGATTCATTTTTCTATATATACCAACAGAAGTTTCCATTTTTATTTAAATGATTTTAATATAACATTTCACAAAAAGATTTTTTTTTGGCGACTGAAATATTACAGTAGATTTTTTCAGTTAACCTCTTTTTAACTGGCATTTTTTCCTTGTCAGCGAGCATACATTGATACACAAATGTGTGACAGTTTGAGCGGAGGGAAAAAAAAAAGAAAAAATAGAAAATACAAACAGTATAAATAGGGAGGAACAACAAAGAGGAACTAATAAAGCTGTCTCCTCCTCCCATTTTTTTTTTCCAGCTGATCAATTTGACTGTTTCGCCTTCCAGCTCTAACAAACCTCTCTTTCTCTCTCTCTCTCTCTCTCTCTCTCTGTTTCTCCGACCGAACACACTTTCTCTGTCTCGTTTCCCTGTTTTGTTCTTCTTCCTCCATTTCTCTGTTCTTCGGACACAAGCAGCACCCTGTGTCATTCCCATGGCGGCTAACGCTGTCACCTACTACTTAACAGAGCACCCGACGATCGTTAACTTCCGTTGGAGTCCCACCCAATCATACGCCTCCACGTGGTCCTTCCTCTTCGCCGCCGTTGCCTTCTACATCGCCGCCGCCGTCACCCTCCACCTCCTCCTCCGCCTCATCTTCATCCTCATCCGCCGCCGCGACGGCCATGGCATCCCCCTCGGCCCCATCCCCGCCGTCCACAGCCTTATAACCGCGGTTATATCCGCCGTTATCTTCCTGGGGATCCTCCTGTCGGCCGCAGCTGAGATCCGCGACACGCGGTGGCTGTGGCGGCGGCGGACTCGAACGACGGCGATCGAGTGGTTCCTCTGTTTTCCGGTGGGGACGAGACCGTCGGGACGCGTATTCTTCTGGTCCTACGTCTTCTACCTCTCGCGGTTCCTTCACCTGTTCCGTACATTCTTCTCCGTGATACGACGTCGTAGGCTTAGTCTCTTTCAGCTCCTCAACCAATCTTTTCTCCTCTGTATGTCCTTCCTCTGGCTCGAGTTCTCTCAGTCCATCCAGGTACGGTTATCTCCGGTTTAATCCGGTTTAGAGTTATTCCCTTTGGTTTTTGTTCAATTTTCCCCTGTTCGAGCTATTCTTTCGGAATATATCTTCAAATTTCATTAGGAAGCTTCGGTTTTCATCGAATTCATTATGAATTCGATGAAATGCTTGTTGAATTTTGTTATGCTTCGAAATTTAAACCGAATATTGGGACGATTGTTTTTGGTTTGTGGGCAGGTAGTGGCGATACTATTGATGACAATGTCGAACAGCGTGGTGTACGGATACAGGTTCTGGACGGGGATAGGGTTACAAGGGGCGTGTTTCCCGTTCGTGGTCTACAACAAAGCCATGTTGCTGTTATGTTTAACGGCGTGCCATATTGCCGTTCCGTGTATCCACTTGGCCAAACGCGGCGGCTGCAACGGAATCGGCGCTTGGCTTTTCAACTCCGTTCTAAACGCCGCCATCTCTCTCCTCTATCTCAAGTTCTTCGTCAAAACGCGAAGCTCTCGCGTTCACAAGGCGTCGTGAATAAGAATTAAGAAGAATAATTTTTAAAAAAAGGAGCCCTGTTTGCAATTACACACGTGGCTTTATTTTCGTAATTGAAGTGTTTTTCCATTAAGATATCTTGCTCTTAAAAGATTGGAGTGGAGATATTTCTTTCTTTTGTTGTTGTATATTAGGTGGTGTGTTTATTAGCAATTAGAGGTTCTGAAAATTTGTACAAATTTGCTAATCGACTTTTGATACAAATTTAACCGCCGTATAGAATTGTTTACAACTTAGTATGGATATTTGAATTCGTATTATGGTTCAAATCGTTTATCTTCGTATTTTGTTCAGTTCTTATAGCATACGTTAGTTCGATTCCGATTTTATTATTTACATTGGGTTCGAGTTTAATTTTTATTAATATATATTTTTAATAATATTAAATTTTACGATTTTTAATTTAAGATATCCTCGGCTAGTTTCTCTCCATGTGTTAAGATCTTGGACGAATCAAAACCAAAATATGAAATCTAGATATTCGACTAATTATTTCTCGTGTTTCAGGGTTTAGAGATGTGGGTTTATTTTGGAAATTGACAGGTTCGAATTAAAAAACTTAATTAAACACATGTAACCCATGCTAATCAAGTTTATTGGTACGTAATTGTTAATGACGGTTAGACTTCTTACAAAGTTACATCCGTATTTAATTTTTAGATTACGGATTTGGATCATTGGCAATATCTTTTATTGGAGAACTTCTCAAACTGTTTTTGTTTCCGTTATAATTTTTTAGTTTATGTAGGCCCATTTATATATATACATATATATAAATATATATATCGACTTAGTTTAGATATCTTGGATTTTGTTAATATTAGCATTTAATCGTAACAATTATCCGATTTTATTATCTATATACGAATCCGTTGTTTTCGGATATTCGTATCCGATTTGAAATATAAATAATTTTTAATATGATATCATACACATTCTAGAACAAATATTTTTCTAAGCGGAGAATTCAAAAAGGCAGAGGAGATGACTTCTTATACAATTTTCTTCATTTAATTAATGACTTTGACATTTCCATATATATTCACAACTAATGAAGAAACTTTGAACCGAAAACCTCTAATTTAAAATTTTCTTAATCCTATAGCATATATATATTGACACGTATTATAGCTGATAGCTGAAGTGGCCTCTGACTGAAATTTCCAATTTTTACCTCGAATGGGGTTGGTCAGATTCCAAACCCAAAATAGCGTTAACAATTATAGGGATTTTTGGGAAAAATTTGAACATTCGTATTTTAAAGTTTATACTGGGATTTCGAATCAAGATCGTATATTATCCGATTTTTTTTATAATAACATTTTTATTAGATTCGTGAATTTATCTGGAACTTTTTAACTTATATAATATATATTAATATTAATATAAATATCGTCTCGTAGAATTTTATCGGGTCCATTTAACCAAAAAAAATAAAAATTTATCGGGTCGCGAGTGTCAGCTCCGGGACTATCGCGGCGGCTTCAAACGACCAAAAAAGCCCATTCTACAGTATTAACGTTGACTTTCTGTGTCCCTCAGCGAATCGCATCGCTCTGTTACTGTGCACCTCACCGTCTCAGATCCCAACCGGCGCCCCAGATTGGACCCGCAAGGCAGATCCTTCCCTGAAAATTCTTCGAGATTCGCACTTCCCTGTTTCATTTATCTTCTTCTTCGTCCTCATCCACTGTTTGCGCTCAAGCTTTCTCCAGGTACGTCCCTTCTTCTTCTTCCGGATTTAGTCTGTGATCGTTCTGTATTTTTTGGGTATATTTTTTCTGGCTTTTCGAGATTTTCGAGAAGTGCCTCTGCTCTTTCTCCGTTAGATTTTGCTACTTCGTCACGTGGGATCTGATTTGTGTTGCGGTATTCGCAAGTTTCCAGATTCGGGAATGTTTGTTCCTCGATTTCTGCATGTTTTCTGTCGGATTTAATGCCTTTGCTTCTACTGAATCAGTATTGATTGAATTTGGATCCGTTTGGATAAGGTTTGATGGATTTTTTTCCGCAGAGAACCATGGTTTTTTTTTAAACGTTGTTCGCTGGTTCCTCTGTTATTTAACTCGTAGATAGTATAGTGAGCGCTCCTTCCTCCGAGGTTCAGATTTGCATCTTCGGTTCTTACGTTTGGCAGATACGTATTTCTTGATTGGTTGAGTTCTCGATGTTTTTGGGGACATTGTCGGATAATTTCTACGGCTGTTCACTCCACTGAATCTGATGCTTATGTCCTTACTGCAAAGTTTTAAACTTTTTATTCCATGGAGTTAATCTACCTTAACCATGATGTCTGAGAAGCTTGTTAACATGTCCTGTTTTTATGAAAGTAAATCATGCATTTCGATTTTCATACAATGATTTTTTTTTTTGTAGATTCCTGCATCACTTTTTTTGTACAGAGTCAAAGTGGGATCCTTTTTATTGGTTTGTCATATCTTGTACGGAGAGGAACATGCTTCATTTACGTCATTCATCGGGCTTTCTATTAGTGATCTCAGTCGGAGTGTTTTGTTGCTTCTTAGCTTCAGATTTTGTATCTTCGAGTGACACCTTCGTATAAGAATGGTATTGGGTCATTGTATATTTGTTTGATGGGTTGGTTGGTTTGGTATATGTTCATTTTTATTAATGTTATAATTTAACTTCACTGAATCTGATACACATGTTCTTGTTGTCGGGTTTGTAGTGTGTCTTAGTCCGGAGGATCTGGGAAAGATGGACGTCGCTATGGCCGTGAGTTCTGACGATTTAAAGAAACGACCCTTGACTCCGTTAAAGCTTCTGAGGGGTCTGATGATCTTAACGGTGTTTCTATCAACTGCTTTTACGTTCTTGGTGTACTTTTCGCCCGTAGTTGTTGTTGGCCTGCGGCTTCTGAGTGTACACCGATCTAGAAAAGTCACATCGTTCATCTTTGGCCTCTGGCTCGCTCTGTGGCCTTATCTGTTCGAAAAGATCAACGAGACTAAGGTGGTTATGTCTGGAGACAGAATCCCGCGAGAGAAACGTGTTTTGCTGATTGCTAACCACAGGACGGAGGTGGATTGGATGTACTTGTGGAACATTGCCTTGAGAAAAGGGTGTCTCGGCTACATCAAATATGTGCTCAAGAGCAGCTTGATGAAATTGCCCATTTTTGGATGGGGCTTTCATATTCTTGAGTTCATCCCGGTGGAGAGGAGGAGGGAAATCGATGAACCTGCTTTGCTGCGATCGCTCTCAACTTTTAAGAATCCTCAAGACCCGTTATGGCTCGCTCTATTCCCCGAGGGAACCGATTTCACGTAACTATCTGTTCCCTATTTCATTCAACATAATTGTCTAACATCAGAGTGAAAATCTCACAAATATGATAAACCTGAACCATGATTCTTTCAGGTGTTAAGTATGTAGTCCATGATTTCTTGAAACACTTTCTTTCAATTTTTCTTCTTTCAAATTATCTAAAATCTCCCTTTCTTTTGCCGTGCAGTGAAGAAAAATGCAAGAGAAGCCGAAAATTTGCAGCTGAAGTCGGGCTTCCGGCATTAACAAATGTGCTTCTACCAAAAACAAGGGGTTTCGGTATTTGCATGGAAGTTTTGCAGAACTCTTTGGATGCTGGTACATTTTCAACAACTTTTACTTTCTCGGTTTCACTTATGTCGTGGGTTTCACGGAATTATATATTTGCAAACCCGCCTTCTCTTGTCTACCGACCTCACTTTGTATAAATCCCATGACCGTAATTGATGTGAATAACATTGCAGTTATGTTACTTAAACCCGAACTTTCCTCAGCTCTGATGTTTTTCTTCCGGAAAATGCAGTCTATGATTTGACGGTAGCGTACAAGCCTATCTGTCCATCTTTCTTGGACAATGTGTTTGGCACTGCTCCTTCAGAGGTTCACATCCATGTCCGGCGTATTGCAACAAAGGAGGTTCCAGCAGGCGATCCAGAGGCTTCCGCTTGGTTAATCGATTCCTTTCGGTTGAAAGACAAACTGCTATCGGATTTCAAAGCTCAGGGTCAGTTCCCTAACCAGAGACCAGAGGATGAACTCTCGACGCTGAAATGCATCATGACTTTTGCTGCGGTAATTTCTCTGACAGCATTGTTCATTCACCTGACCTTTTCTTCGCATATCGGTTTCAAAGTGTATGTCTGTCTAAGCTGCACGTATCTAACTTGTGCAACCTATTACAAGTTCCGACCCTCTCCTCTTCTCGGTTGTTTGAGAGGAGATTCTTGCAAAGAAGTGAAAACCCATTAGCTCTTGTGTACATACATCATTCTTTTGCATACAAAGAAATAATCTGAAGGATCCAGAGCCAAAAAGGCTGTCTTTGAAGCTTTTTTTTTATAAAATTTTTCGGTTAGTTCTCTGATCAATGGTTGCTTGTTGATTGTACTCAATTTGCAACCCAGGATGCTCTTTTTCATTCTCAAATTCTTTTGACTCAATCTACTGCATCTTTTGGATGTCTATGCTTGTTGGAAACATCTACAACTCCCTTTGTCCTCGAGAAAGTTACCGACATGGATTTTCCCGTGTCGTGATATGAGAGAAGTCTGTCGCCAATATGGGCTGCAACTTTGTCAGAAGCATGTTCTGGTTTGGTCGGTTAAGGAAGTTTCTGCATGACAACCTCAGTAGGTGACGGAAGAGGCAGAAGTTTTCTGTCCAACAAACATTGTTAACCTTCTTTTGCAGATGGCGAAAGAAAGGCCAGAAGCGCGATCTCCTGCAGGGCGTAACTGCCCCTCGGGATCTTGCGAGGTAGATTCTTGTTTCTTTACAATCCATCCTCTTATGTCATGCCCTTCCTTAAAAGTGTGTCAAAATGTTGGGTCCTACCTCAGTTGATCTCCTTATCCAAAGCAGTTGCAAGAGTGAGATCATGTTTTGTGTTTGATAGACACCGACTTTCTCCGGTAAGAAACTAGAAAACGCCAAACAAGCTAATGTGGATTCTGTATTTGTATCAAACCCACATGAAAAAAGAGCTCAAAACATTATCTCTATTGATGTGATCTAAGTTGGTTCTTGTCTTAACATGGATTCATGTTTCAGCTTCACTATGAAATCACGTTTTCTGTCATGGGTCTTATCACATTGTTCTTACTTTATGATCTTTAATGTCTGTAACATTTTTCAGCAATATTCAGTGGATCTGAAAGGGAAAAAAATACAGTTGTTACAGAGCTTGACGATGATTGTAATCACATTTCTAGGCATTGAACAGACCATGTTGTATCTTTGACTTTGACATGCCTTTCGACTCAGTTGTCGGTTAAAATTTAGCCATTTATGTGGACCGACAAATGAAAATTACAGGTACTAGATCAAAATCATAATTTAAACCGGAAACAAACCGAATTGGTTGTGGATTGCAATAACAATCCATTTCAATTACGTAAACCCCGAACCGAATGCGAATTCACCGACTCGCAGGCACAACTCTTTTTTTAGTTGTTGATGCTTGATGACTTTTATTTTGGGTTTTTGGTTTTTGGATTCTATAATATTTGTAAACCCAAAAAAATAGTTTTAGTTTTTCATTGATTTTTTCACCAAAATGGCTTTTCAAATTTTTAAGAAAAAACAATTTTATAAAAATTTGAATAGTAATATTTTTATTTTTGGATTCTAACAACTCTAAAAACTCCAACCATTCAAAATCTAAGAGTTTCTAAACAATTTTTCATTGATATAAGGGTCCTACCTCTTTTGAAAATTTTGAATGCGTGGATTACGTAATAAACACGTAACCTATATCACGCGTTTAGGGTTTATAGTGCCTTCGCCGTCACGGTAGTGTTGGAGATCTGTCTTTAATGGAGTTTAAACGATGATTCCTCTGTCTGAATAAAAACATAAACATTAATTTCCCCAACTCACTAAATGCTCCAAAATAAATACATTGATCAAAATCAAATGTTTATATTTACAATCACTTTGGTATTTAACTTGTAAGATACGTTTGATTAATTTTGTTCATGGAATATCTCAAAATGAAAATCATAATTTTCTAATTTATGGGTTTATTTTCTATCAGCTCAAATGAAAAAAAACTGATGTAAGTAAACAATAAATTAAATTCATTGGCATATTGAAAATAAAAATAAAAAAGTACGTGGCGATTACGTGTAGAGGTGATAATAAAAATAAAGAAAAATACAATAGTTGTTTAAAAACAAAACAAAACAAAAATAAAAATAACAGAGGGAGGGCAGTTTCTTGCGCGGGGTAATGTCGTTTTAACGGAACTTCAGGTGAACGTGTGAAAGTGGTTAATTTCACGTCTCTCTCTCTCTCTCTTTTTATTATTTCAAGTTTTAAACTTTTAATTCACAAGCAAAAAAAAAAATACATTAATGTTTCCTCAATTTAGGTACCATTTACTGTATATTAAATTTAAATTTTATAAAATGAAATCCACACCAAGAACAAGGTGGATGTGATGAGGATTAATTTGAAGAGCCGCACAAAGAGAACAAAAATAATTTATCATATAAACGGATTCAGCATAAAGATTATTTCCCAATTTTTTATTTAATTTTGGTAGAATTTTTATTTCTCGAAATCAAGAAGTCCAAAAATTAAATTAAATTATTATTATATTTGTAATTCGGAACGATATTATAAATAGAGGGTTCGGTGGAGAGCAACTGCCAACATTCATCAGCAACAACAACGAACAGCGAAAAACAGAAATTCTCTCAGCTTTTTCAGATCAAAATGGCCATTTTCTCCAGATTTCATCTTCTGTTCTTCGCGTTCTTCACAGGTACACTCCTCTTGATCGTAATTTCACTGTTCTTCAGCTGCCTTTGACTGATTTCTCCCTCATTGATCTCAACAGAAGAGACTATTCATGCCAGAATTCGCTAAAATTTCATCATAAAATGTCTGGTTTTTTCGATTTGTGTGTTGTCATTGCATGAAAATCAATCTGTTCTTATCTGTTTCGTTCCCGATGTAACGTTTTCCGACAAAAACATTTCTCGATTCGCGTGTCATCATGACTGGCGATTCACGCTGATATGTTCTGTTTCGTTCTAACTATGTTTTCAGGTGCTTCGGCGACTGTCTTCACGCTCGAAAACAGCTGCCGGTACACCGTTTGGCCCGGCGTACTCTCCGGCAACGGTGACACCCTCGGCGACGGCGGTTTCCCTCTGCCGCCGGGATCATCCGTCAAACTCACCGGCCCTCCGGGATGGTTCTTATGTCATGCCCTTCCTTAAA